AATTCTTATTGTAACACTTTATTAAACTTATTACGCTCAAATATTTCACGATACCCTAGGGGGATTTCCACGGTTATTTTTAGGTCATGGAACTCACAAGGTACTTTCTTCAATCATTTACTTAATAATTAATATTCATCAGAATATTAAAATAGGAAAACCGTTAAATTTTCCCGCGTGTTATTACATATTATTATTATTATTATTATTATACTCACTAACTCAATAATAATGATTATTGAGTAAGTGAGCAGCAGTTCAAATGTTTACAGCTGGGATTCGCCGTACTACTTCCAAGTAGCCGAGACACCTTAATTTCCCCCGTGTTACAAATGTAAGTAGAAAATTCCCATCCAGATAGCTTTTTCATACAATTGCCACTTTGTGAATTCTTCCTTGAAAACTACAATCTTAACCTCTTCATATCAAGAGCCAATCGTTAAGGTAGTTAAGTTCGTTGGTATACAGTTTTCATTCCCTTCAACGACACCACCACCACTTAAGGCTTATCGTGATCCCGGTATTGGGTAGATAGCCATCCTATGCTTTAGGAAGCCATCTACGTTCAGAGATGACTTACTGAAAACACGGAGTCTCTCATTCCCAATATATTTACAGCGGACCTGGACACCAACCTAGATATTTTACATAGACAAAGCTCTTTCTAATGTGTGAGCTGTAATTGTCAGTACAGTTTTTTGAATTTCTTTATAGCATGTGCTACCAGGAACCGCTTCAAACAAAACTATCAGAACATTTTTACAATCAATCCAAGCGCTCCAACTACAACTGAAATTTATTGATGTGCTCATGTGCCACATTTTTGAGAGTCCCACTTCAAGATTCTTGTATTTTGATAGTTTTTTTTTTAAAGATCTTCAGACACCTTACGATCAGAAGGGACTGTCATGTTGATAAGAAAACACATTCCGTTTTTGTGGTCTTTGATCACGATGTCTGGTCGATTAGTTTTGTTCTGCCTGCGTCTATTGTAAAGTCCCATAAAATTGTTACAGGTCTTATCGCTGTGACCGGGCCTAGGTGGTGTTCATATCAGTTTCTTGCAGTTTCCTTTCCGGAAAATGTTACAGATTTTACAGTGCAGATATTGACCCACTCTATCATGATGTGTTTGATATTCAGTTGGCCCTAAACTGTGCAGCCTGATACAAGATGGTCAATTGTTTATGGATATTTAACATAGAATCTGCATTCTGCGTTAACACAATTTTTCAGTATGTGTGCTTGGTAATTTCTAGTAAGCAAGCATTGGTCCTGTGCATCAAGAATAAAACCTTTGGTTTCAGCTTTTAAGCCTGTACTACGTAACTACTGATAGGTACAGACAGGGTTTGTCTACATCGGCTTGTATGGTACGGGCAGAGTATTGACTATGAAGAAGCTTATCTTGCCATTGTTTTTGTATTTGGATTATTGCATTTGTGTTCTTTTTTTTCAGGTTCTTTGCCACTGCAATGGGTTCCATTATGGTTTATTTTCACTTCTTCGCCCTCTTGAAATTCCCTTTTGAATTTGCTGTCTTCTGTTATTAATGAACAGATTTTCTTATTTCTTCCATGTTCTTTGACAAAGATCATCTTCGGTCTTCTGTAGTTTCCAGGTATCTTTGAAGACCGATAGTTGTAGTTTTGTAAGACTTTTCTAGTTGAACTAATCCTCTGACTCCTCCGGATCTGAGCACATAGAGACGATCAACATCAGCCTTAGGATGATGCATGTGGTGGCAACTGAGGATCTTTCACGTTTTGACATAGATTCGCTTAAAGTCAGGTATGGTCCAATAAAGGATGTTGAAACTGTATCACACGAGTAGGACAGCCAAAATGGTTGATATTTTGTATTTAACACCAGACGAACGTGCATGTAGTATTCTTTTCTTACATTCTCCTTCATTTCGATTTGCTTTAGTCCATCTTCGCTGACTTGTGACTACATTTTTTTATATTTCTTTAAGGTATAATCTACCAGGTATTCCTTCGATGCGTGTATCGGAAACTTTTCCAACAATCCGAGGTTTCCAAATGCAACAGGAATTATTGTTGCCCCATTTTTTTAGATTTACTCTTCGAGATTCTTGTATTTTGATATTTCTTTCATATTCTGTGACAGAGATCATCATCCAGTCTTCTGTTGTTGTCAGTAATCTTTTAAGACCAATTTTTGTGGTTCTGTAAGACAGTTCTAGTTGAACTAATTCTCTGCCTCCTTCGGATTTGGGTTAGTTATAGATGATCAACATAGCCTTAGGATAATGCATGCGGTGGCAAGTGAGAAGCTTTCTCGTTTTGACATCCATTTGTTTAATGTCAGCTATGGTTCAATTAAAGATGTTAAAACTGTATTGTACAACAGGGACAGCCAGTGCTCATAGCTGATAATTTGTTTTGTGAATTTAACATGATGTAATAGTTAGCAGGCTTATTTTATTTATAATTACGACTGAGTAGTGAGTTCGATCCTCACTGGCTGTTCTGAATTG